GGGAAAGAAAGAAAAGCACTAGCAGTTACCTTGCACAGCCTTTCACCTCAAACAACACTTCCACAGACCGCTATGTCGTTGGTTTTTTCAACATAAAGCCCTGACAACCCAAATGTAAACGCTTAACAACAATGCATCAAATCATTCATCAAGTTTTTCTGTATCATTAATTCTTCTAAAGTTGAAATTAACAGGCCTGAGTTTGGAGATAGGGAAGTTGGCAGCCAAATAAGGTGACCTCCACCACGGAGGGTATAATGAATTTAAGGCCTGCTAAAGCACTCTGGGAAGTCCTTAAATCAATGGGAAAAAAATTGATAAAAACTTAAGGTGAGCTAGCTCTTTGCCCATGGCACCTATTTCAAACTGTACTTACTGCTGTAATTCAGATCATTTGGGATTTGCCACAAATTTCTCACCTCCCACTTAGAATGATTTTGATGAGAAATTTAACAGATAAACTCTGGGGAGGTAATTAACAGTAGATTGTTCCCAACCAGCAGGAAGGCAAGATAACGGAAAGCCTCCATTTTTCCCCCAGATTTTGGCATTTTGTTTTGCTTCCCTTAAGCCTGTCTTTATTTACCTTTATTTCTTCTGCCTGAAGCTACAGAACATAGACGTGTAGCTCATGAAGCTGAGGCACTTCACAGTCTCAAGTGCATTTCCTCTTTCTTTCTCACCTGATCTTTACAACTGGATTACAAGGGAAAGCTTAATCTACCAGATCCTCTACCTCCAACTCAGCCTTCTCCCAGGCTGCACTTCATGCTCAACGAGAGCCTTTACAGCAGACCCAACCTGAAATCCACAGCCAACTAACTGACTTGAAGAAATACCTTGTTTTATCCACTCTTCCCTTCTTCTCTTCTCTGTTTTACTATCTTTGGAAAAAATCCCTGACCTAATACAATCAAACCCAAAGTGTCACGTTATTGTCAGATGAAACCAGGTTTACTTTCACGGAATCACAGAGTAATTCAGGTTGGACAGGATCTCAGGGTGCCCCTCAGAAGGGTCTGACCTTTCTGTCACTGGCCAACACTGAATTCAAACCAGGTTGGTCAGGCCTTTCTTCAGGCAGGGGCTAAAAGCCCCCAAAGATTTCAAAAACTGTCCAAGCAACCTATTCCCACAGTTGACCATCCTCAGGAGAAAAACAATTTTCCTTATGTCAAGTCAGACCCTCCTCTTCCTTTCAAAAGTTGTAAAATTTCACACGTGCCTACCAAATTCAACAGCAGCATTAATGAAGAAGCAATCAACATATCACTAGTCCCGGGAGGTTATTTAGAGGCTCTGCTTCCACATGAAAGTCACCACATACTCCTGTACAGTTTAAGGCTTTTTATATTTATAAAAGTGACAGGTAGAGTGCTTTGGCTAAAGCCAGAGGGCAAAGCAGGCAGGAGATCCCCAAGTTTGAAAGGTCTGAGTTTGCAGTGTACTAATTGTTATCTAAAGGATCATAATTATCCCAGCCAAGAGAAGCATCCAGAAATATCTCTGCCACAGTCATCTTCAGTAAACATTTCAATGAGTAAGGGATTTGAAGGACCTTATGGGTATCTGGGATACTTTCTTGCATAGGTTCTCCGGTATCTGTTAATGTGGTTGAACTCACACTGCCACACCACTGAGGACACTAGCATCTGGGGGTTTTCTCTTCAACAAGAGGCTGATTTTCCCAAACACAGAAACCTTAAAAATGCTAAATTTTTCTCAATTTGGGTGAAGGTGGCCAACAGGTTCTACTGCTATGGGAAAGGAGGTAGGAGGACAAACAAGCAAAAACACAAGTGTCAAATAAACAAGCCCCGTCTCCACAAAGCAGCATGCTAAAAACCCAGCAGTGGTGCACAAACTGTGCTTTAACAGCCACTGGGAATAAAAATACAATTTTGCTCACAGCTGAGGTAATAAAAATGCAGATTAAGAGAGGAAGATACCGCAGATTTCAAAACAGAGAGTCTTGGTCATGTGCTGCACTCGATTTGCACGTGTTCTACATCTCAATTTAAGAGAGCTCCACCGCTACCAACCATTGTGCACACTCAACACAGCTCAGCTACTTAAGGGGGAACTGACTTCAACTCTTCCAGAGGCTCATTAACAAATACTCCCAAATACCTGAATTCGTTGCGCTGTTGTTATCCGGTTTCTGTTCACTGTTGCCCTAACTCGTTCACTCTGCCGAGTCCTGGCTATAGCGCGGGTTCGGACGTGAGGGCGCAGCCTACTGGTGGTAGGAACAACATCAGCCACGAGGGCAGCGACCTCTTCTTCACTGACGTGATCCATATCTTTAAAGAGAAGATGCCCAGGTCACTTGTCTTTCTACAGGTGCATTTCAAGAATTTGGGACAAAAAACAAAAATCGCTATTCCCTTTCTTAAACCAATCCCCTTCAAAGGCAGACATCATCCTCTCAAAAGAAAATGAGCGCAGACACCACTGCTTCACACTGTTACACAGAAAGATGACTTTCTAGGCAACAGAAATTGCTGCTACCTTGGCAATCTGAGGTCAGGATACTAATAAATTCTTTCCAATGCAGTTGCACTAAGGTGCTGGCCTTGCCTCAGGAAGGTTAAAAAAATGTTTATAAGCAGCAACTTCACAGGTTGTAACTGCAGATGAAAATCTTAATAAACAAGATCCTCTTATCAGTCAAGAATTCAAGCCAACTCTTTAGGTTCAAGAGAGAATGCCTATCAAAATTATTTAACACAGATAAAACCAGGGGTTAAAAATCTCTACAAAACAGCACATGCTTCATATCATCTAAGTCAGGAGAACAAGGTGTACTTTGACTGAATCCCACAAAACCCTTACCTGCAGCAGCACTGACACCCATGGGTGCACAGGCTGGACAAAACCACTCATCTACAGGGACTTCACTCAGAGGTGGATTAAGGCATTCCATGTGATACCTTGAGAGAAGAAAAAAAGAAAAAGGAAAAAGTGAAATAAAAATCAAACAACGTGCTCCTTACCAAGGGAAGGGAGCCTTTTACCTCTGTCCACATGCTACATAAGGCAGACACATTTTCTTAAGCTTGAAATAGGTCTATGCATCTGCTTCTACCAATCTCCAGAGAAACAATGCTACCTGAGAGTTATATAAGGATCTTCAATTCTAGATAGTATTTTGATCACTTCAGGCTCAAAAAGCTCATAAAAGTGAGTGTTCCTCCCTTGCTGTGTGGTGTATCGCTTGCCATTTGAACCCAAGCTGCAAGAAAACGTGCAGAGCCAAAACTGATGGTGGCAAAGAGGAAGGAGAGAAGTATGGAGGTGCTGGGGAGACAGACAATCAGGAAACAACATCAGCTTCCTGCAAACCAGCACAGTATTAATGTTACTGGTACCTATGAACATTTTATTTTGCATGACTAGACCCAGGTCAACTGCAAGGCCTTGTTAGAGTGAATTTGATGAAGACAATGAGCGATGAGGATTTCTGCATAACTGCACAAGCTGGGTTGCAGAGCATCAGTCAGTCACAAGCTCCATACAGCTGCCTGCAGGGCTGGAGGTGAACCATGCTGACCTCCAAACACCATCCGACTGGTGACCGTGCTCGTCCCTACCAAATCACAAGGGGAAAGTAGCGAGCACGATGGTCCCTTAGGTGGGCCTCTCGAAAGGCTCTCTACCCAACACGCTGAGCAGCTAGACTGAACAGTCTCACCAACCACCAACCACAGGGCACCCTTAGTAAGTCTGCAGATGACACCAAGCTGGGTGGAAGTGTTGATCTGCTTGAGGGCAGGGAAGCTCTACAGAGGGATCTGGACAGGCTGGATTGCGGGGCCAAGGGCAATTCCATGTGTTTCAACAAGGCCAAGTGCCGGGTCCTGCACTTCGGCCACAACAGCCCCCAGCAGCACCACAGGCTTGGGGAGGAGTGGCTGTAAAGCTGCTGGGGTGCTGGTTGACAGCCGGCTGAACATGAGCCAGCAGTGTGCCCAGGTGGCCAAGAAGGGCAACAGCATCCTGGCCCGTATCAGCAATGGTGTGGCCAGCAGGAGTAGGGAGGTGATCGTGCCCCTGTATTGAGCACTGGTGAGGCCCCACCTCGAGTGCTGTG